TTCTCATTTTGTAGACCCCAAGTTTATTTTTTTATTAGAGAATAATGTGATTAATAATTTATTGATAAAAAAGTTCATATTGAAAAATGGGCTCTGTAGATATAAATTGTTAATTAAAAATTTTCATCCCCGGATTCCCCCGTATTCCCCGAAATACCCCGTCAAGAGCACGGGGGAATCCGGGGATTGTGCTAGCTGGGCACTCAGACAAGCGCCTGTCTGTGCATAGACTGCAGATTAGATGACCACCTTCAAAAAACCAAGACAGTCTTTGTTAGAAACGATCATCCAGTGTGTCTCATCAGCGTAGAAAACGGAATCTGTGGTCGTTTGTTCTAGTTCTTAGATGGGCATTGTCAGAATGGCTACTGTAAATCGCTCATGACTGAAGACCCTCTTGGTTATCAGTATACGAGATACCAAAATCACCAGGTTACTAGCCTGTGTCTATAGAGGTTTTACCTCTCCCACAGTGAAACTATTTAAACCAATTCATGCCGGCTGCGCCATGCCTGAAAGGCAATATTCCTCATTGTTCGGCCAATTCCGCGCCTCATTCTCAATTACAGTTTTTCCAATATAGATTGAGTGCATAGCTTTGAACAATTTTCATTTTAAAAAGAATAAACATCCCCCTAGATGAACTAATTTTAACATTCATCATAGTCCAAACTTTAAAATCTTCCAAAAAGCTTCTTGATTCATTATTCCAACTGAGATGGGTGATTCCAAAAATCATCTCTCAACGTGTGGGCTTATTAAAATAGACAAGTATATAACTTAGTAGTTTTGGTTCTGAAGATAAATCGCAGGTACCCACGTCTATCTCTTCCAGTATTTATGCGCAATATAACTGTTTAAACATAAATGTGTTTGAAAAAATCACAACAAGTTCCCTAGACCCTTTTTCATGGGAAGAAGTGATGAGTTGAATGGAAAAATGAATGCAGTATGCAACATTTTTTCCTTGCTAGCGTCTTAATAAAAAAATCTTTTTCGAATTGGTTTAAAGGCTCCAAACTTTGCAACTTTACAATAACCAGTGGAGACGCACAGACTACGGACGATACCTTTTTCGTGGAAAGTTCAAAAGACGTGTCCGGTGGAGGTCACGTTAAGATGCTTAATCATACCGACACGAACGTTTTGAGGCAAAAAGATGGTGTTCAAATGTTCGTACAAGCCAAGGACTGCGGGATTCATCCAGAAGCATCACCAAAACGTCCTATCATGGTATACGTAAGCTAGACCCTTTAACATACTATTATACATTTTATATGTTTGAATGCAATATCAAAGCTTTACCATTCTCCTAAAAGTATACTTTATGTGGTTAGTGACGTAGTGCCGGATAATTTTCTATCCACGCGTTTATGGGGTTAATGATACCTAAAATTCTTCTGAATTTACTCGATGTTGCATTACGGCATTCTCTCAAAGTTCGCATTTTCGTAGGGTAGTACCTTTTTACCAGAAAAATTTCAGAAGTCCATTTTTTTAAGTTTTTCTGAAATTAAAATTATTGATATATTTTCATAGGAAAAAATGTAACATAAACGCGAAGGTTGTTAATTTCTTTTTACACTAAATGCTGGAGGTTAAAACGGCTATTTACTAGGATACTAAATCACTCAATAAAATACGCCAGTGTCCCTTCCATAGTCTTTGTTACAAGTTGATTAGTATTGAACGTGTGGGCTATGGTACCTGACATATGTCGACGGCAGAATTGAAAACAACCTGCGTTAAATTAAAATTCTAATTGTTGAACGATATGTTTCACTTAATTTATCTGGAGCGTACCGGACTTAAACACTAAATGCAAAATGCAGAAAGCTGCATAATAATGCTGCAGGGCTTTATAAAATTAATAAGTGCAGGCTTTTCAGTGATTTATATCAGTGTTGAAGACCTCAAAACGGTAACATGGAATAACGCTGTTATACATAATTTCAGATACTAGCTAGTACTTTGCTTCTAACAGTGAAATACGGCCCAATCGTCCTAAAAGACCAAACTCATCACCAAAGTAAAAACCCAGTTCGGAGACTAAAGACTTGTTTTATGAGAAGGCTTCCGATATCCATGGCACCGTCTAATTTTTACACTTATTCTTGATATTTTAGACCTTATTTTACTTGAAAATGCGTTAAACTTCCGCTCGTAAACGTGGAAAAATTAAAGCGGAAAAGTGACGTATATATATTTTGCTGGATGCTCTAATCCTTTCGAGGGTTAAAGTACTTCCGCTGAACCAAAACAGTTCATGTGCTCATCAGAACATTAAAACTGAACTTTGAACCTTCTTACAAGAAACATACCTCCTTGAAATACAGTATCTAACTTTTACTAATGCCATTTAGGTTTTGTTTAACTTTTAGAAAGTTCGCTGACAAACCGCTTTTAATATTTATCTCAGTTTTCGGAATGAAAATGCGCCAGTAACATTCTTAGAACGCTTGACTTAAGTAATATCACAGTACCGATAAACATGTCATCTGCTCCGAAAATAATCAGTGGATGGTTGTTGGGCTTCGTTTGATCACGTTTCAGTCATCTATATTAACCACATTAAAAAAGTACTCAGTGGTAGTGCCTGTCTGCTTATCTCACTTTCAACACCTCCTCAAATACAGCCTTTTTGGAAAATAGTACGTTAAAAAAATCACTAATAATGACTTGTACTCAGATGTCCACACCATTAGCACGCGGTCTGCTTGGTTGACGTAAATAAATAAATGACAAATCTGAAAAAGGACTTTAAAGTTCAGTTGTGGAACGTCGAGTCCAGGACTCTTTCTATGACCAAGAAGAGCAATTTATTTCCAATGACAGTTAAAACTTTATTCCCCCATTCTCTTCCCTTATTTTATCTGCTCTTCTCCATCTGGTGATCCAACTTCGGGCAGTAAGCACGCCTTTCTGTTCGTAATTATTATCTTGGTAAGGACTCTCCTTACTCTCTGGTCGGTCACATCTTCATTGCAAGTTCTCCTTTAAGAGAAAGGGAACGGTTCTGCAAACCACTTTATACATTCATAAGCAGTTACCATGCGGATAATAGCTAGAAGCGCAGGCGCCCGTGTTTCCTGGATATTCCTTTGCTGCTTGTCACAGCTACGGTTCATCAGTGTTGATTTCTGCATGCCTCCAAGTTAATAGTCCAGTTTTAAAACTGTATCTTTTTAACATCACCAGAAATGTATCTCTAACTTGCAGTAGGTCAGTGTATTCAATGGTGTTTACTGATGGGCTCTAAGTTAGAGATGAAGGTAAGGATTTATCGTAGGGCCGCCTGAGGAAAGGTTTAAATAATAATAGTAATAAAACTACTCGCAATTTTTAAGCAGGTTGAATTTACGCTCATCCAAACAACCTTCACATTATGTTAACCAATAGCAGTTGTCCTAATAATTTAAGTTGGCCATAGGCTTTCTTTCCAGTTTTTGTCCTCTATGCAACCTTTTCACTTACAATTTTAGTTCAGTAAACCAACCACAAGCGGGTTTAATTCTTTTTTTCCTTTTAATGTGTTTGTGCGCAACCCCTTCATTTGACTTTTGCCATTAGAGGGCCCTACTATAAACCTTTACTTTAACTTCAAATCCCACTCGCATCCCAAAAAATACCGCGGTTTAAAGTTTATGCAGGAAGTAAAATACGCCATTTAAGAAGGTTGGAACGTGCATGATGGGCGTTTAGACTTCGTGCAGTGTTGAAGACAATATCAAACCTCCTGTTCTATCTTGACGAAGCGACGGAAAACGTGGTCCACTCCCTTACAGCCACATGTACTCAGATTCGTTTCTGTTGAAAGGCTCTCGAAACAACAAACTC